TGCTGTTTCTGCAGCTTCCGGTTTTGGTGATACAACAACATCACTCTCTGAGATAGCTCCATTCCACTCCAGAGATTTTGAAATTTGTGGGTCATGATAAGGGACTCTTCTTTTTGACATAAAACTTGGCTCTTTTGTGATTCCTACAAAATATAGCATACAGAAACTACCATAAAGCTCTAAAGGAGCATAAAGTTACAAAGACAACTTTTAGTAACACTTAACAGAGGAGAAATGGAATTGAAAATCCCAGTTGAGATACATACAATGTCCTTAAAGTTGCAGGATAAACAAAAATAGGTATTGTTCATTCTTCATAAAATCTTTCATTTTGCTTTTGAAAAGTACTAAAAGTTTGACATAAAAATGTTAAATATTGGGGTCACAGTGTTTGTGTTAACCCAACACAAGTCACTAGAGTCGCAGCGTGACGGGCCTGGCAAAGCCCACAGGACATGTTACCTCCGTTTCTAATTACTTTCCTGTGCTACTTAACAGAACAATGGGCCCTGGTACTGTCAAAATTTGGAACTTTTCACAAAGCTTCTCTTATGCACAGTAGACCAAGATGAGAAGGGATGAGATGTCATTATGCTGGATCTTGGTTCTACATTTGCCTTGATTTCCTGAGAATTAAAGAGAATGAACCCTTTTCACAAGAGCTAAGATACTATTTCTCTACATTTCTGTCTGGCAAGAAAATGTCCAAAAAACTTAACCTCCTACCCAAGTAAGAGGAGCTTTGTGGAGTGACAGCCATCAAGATACTGTCCTAGTTTGGGCCCACTCTTTAAATAGAAAGAAGACTGAGCAGGGTGGGGAGGAAAGAGTAAGACTAGAGGGAAGGAGAGGAAAGGTGGACTGAAAATCTGGCATGAGGTAAAACCTACAGGTCTTTAGCTTCCATCAAGGATGATTTGGCCATTGAACTCAGGGTCCCCACCCTTACAAGGCTTCCCTAGATTAGTGGTCTTCAAACTGGGTGCATGTGTGTCTGGAGGCATATGGAAACATTCTGGGGGATACGCAGAAATGGGCCGCGTAAAGGAATCACTTTGCAGACCCTACATACATCTATATGCACTATATCCCAACATTGGTCTGCCTGAGAGCCAGACCTGCTGTCTGTAGTCTTCGTTCCCACCCTCACCTTCCCACTTCACAAAAGGAACAGACACCTCCCAGCTAGCCCTAAGGAATAAAAAATTCTCATAGGTAGGGAAGACAAAGGGACAATTCAAGAAAGTATAACTACTGAGACAGTATCTGACAGCAAAGCAAAGAAGGTAGAGATTACAAATAACAAAAGACTAGTGCCTTATTTCATCCATCTCCACATCTTTCCCATCTACCCATCTTAGAATTAAAATTCGGGGGTAAGAGGGTTGTCATGTGAAATGAAAATATGTTAACACATTTACAGGGATTGAAAAATAAAGTTAGACTTTGTTCTCACAGAAAATAATTCTAATTTGCCTGATTAGTTTGCCAATGAGAACTAACTTTACCAATTATCTGATGAACATTTACCATAAAGTGAATGAGCTATACTGGCAGCTCCAAAGACTTAACAAATATAAGTGAAACATATGCACAATATTCAATAGCCAGAAATCACATCCTTTGAAACTATTTGTTATGCTTATTAAAAAATTAAATATCAACTTAAAATGTGTGGAGCAACTAGGTGGCTCAGTTGGTTAAGCACCGACTTTGGCTCAGGTCATGAATTCACGGTTCATGAGTTTGAGCCCCCACAAGGCTCTCTGCTGTCAGCACAGGGCCCGCTTTGGATCCTCTGTCCCCCTCTCACTCTGCCTCTCCCCTGCCCGCACACGTGCACTTGCTCATGTTCTCTCTCTCTCTCAAAAATAAACATTAAAAAAATGTGAAAGGATACAAAGATTTTCTAAATTCCTTTAAGGGCTATGAAAGCAAAAATTTGAAAACCATTGCCCTAGACTTCTCTCTGATTTAACACAGAGAGGCTTCTTATAGAACAGCAAAATGAAAGGGGAAGATTCTCAAGTGGTCTGCCATTCTCTCCTAGCATCAGCAAAAGTACACAAAGGGGGAAAAATATACACTGTTAACAGAACACCCAGCCAGTCCTAGGTCAGGTGGCTGTTCTTCCTCCCACCTCCCTTTCTGAACATCCTGAGGTTCTCATTCTGTCCCTCCCCCTAATCTAATATTCCCCATTAACTTACCTCCCCTAGACCATGCCTGTTTCCATTATGTACAATACTCCAAAGTGGCTTTGCTCCCAGTCTTGTTTCAACACACCTACCTTATAGCTGATCTAAGCTAAAATGATATCGGCACAACAATCTGGTTAACCAATTCCCCAGGATCATAATAGGACATCAATGTGATACCGATACTTAAAGATTTATTTTGGATCAGTCGAATAGAGCGTCAAATTTGTAGAACTTCAAGTCATTTGGAGGATTCTGAGCACCATCTTGCCCAAGAAGCAGAGACATCCAGTGTTTGAAGTCAGGCTCTGGGCAAGGATCCTGATGCTTCAGAGAAACCGAGAAACACCGACTCAAGCCCACTCTTCCCTTTTTTCTCCAAACCTAATCCCAGAAACACTTCTTTTCTTACTCATTTCCCAGGCCTGGGAAAATTATGCTTATTTACCATATGTCTTTTCTTTTCCTGACTTCAAATATCTAATATTTGAGGGACATATATACCATGTATAAAGCACGCTCATATGTGGGGCCCCAAGCACTAATCTCTATATATGCACCTGGCCCTTAACAAGCAATATCTCATTTAATCCCCGTCAACAATCCTATTAAATGGGCTTCCTGAACCCCGCTTGGTAAAACACTTCACATTTGCCCAAGGTCACAAGCTAATATAGATTCAAACTCACATTCATTTATTCAAACACTGGTTTTCATAAGCACCAGAGTATGTGTCATCTATTAGGCAGGAAGACAGGCAGAGCCCTTGCTCTTCAAGATCTTATATTCTAGTGAGGGCTCATGAAACAGGCAGGTAGGATAAAGTCAATCTGTTTCTTTTCCTCTGTACTATTTTCTGAGAAACTTTGGCCCAGGGCTGAATTGCCTGGGATACCAGGATGAAACATGTGTGATGATCAACATATGGCCTCTGAACTCATGGGCTTGCAACAAAACAGATTTGATTTCAAATCATCGTTTTGCCACTTACTGGCTATGAACTTTGGGCAAGTTACTTAATCTAAGTTTCCCTTCCTCAAGACCTTGGAAGGACACCACCCCAGGCTTGACTGCTCTCAGCTCAAGTATGACTCCTCAGAAAGGCCTTTCTTGACTACCGTAGCTAAAATCTTCCCTCCATCCCACCCGTCCCCCAAGTTATCTATATGCTAGCTTATAACAACTTGAAATCCCCTAGTGTATTGAGTTACTTGTTTACTTTTTTCCTCCCACAGTTAAGGTTGTCTTTGTCTGATTCAAGGCTACATCCCTAGAAGCTGGGAATAGTCCTGGCCTATATTGCAAGCCCTCAGTAAACAGCTGTTAAACAAGTAAGTCAACCAGACCAAATGAACAATGTTTTGCAATTTTTAATAATTTTTTCAAACTTAACCCCAAACTTTATTTAAGTTACAACGACTACTAGTTTGTTCAACTTACCTAACTGATCCGATCTAAGTCCAGCCCATGGGTACCTTCTCCCCACTGAGGGATTATAGGACTCTGACAAATATGACTTTTTCCACAGAAAGTTTCTCTGGTATTCACTCAGCCCCTGTGATACAAAATACAATTTGAGTACAGTGCAATTAATGGATGTTGTTTTTAAAAAGACAGCAGCAAAAATAATTTCTGAGCCTCTAAAAAGAGCTGAAAGCTTTGAGATTGATAAACACAGAGGCCCTCCCTAATAGCTAATATTTACCCAGCCCTTGCTAAGCAGTTCACACGTCTTCTATCCTTTAATCCTCACAACCACTTGAGCCAGATGCTGGCAGGAATCCGAGGCTCTGAGCAGCTACCTTTTTGCTGGTTCTCTGATTCCAGAGCCTGAGCTCTTGTCTGGTTAACAGGTGACAATCTAAATCCCCATCGCAATAATTATCCTTCCTGATTATGTTGGCAATGAGTACACAGTATCAGGTATTAGGCCTAGTACCTCTTGAAATGTTGTAAAGTCAACTAAAGTCGAGTTCCCCTCCTATTCTAGATACAAGCCCTTAAGATTAAAGAATAAAATAGGGTTTGTGGAAGGTTGTGGTCAACTGTTATGTTGATGGATGCATGACCCTGACAGCTACCACCTACCTGAAACTTATGCACAGCTATGAAAAATGTCTATTTCTTACACTCTTATCTTTACCTAGCCGGGGACCCATTTCTCGATCCTTTAAAAGACATAGGCACTTTAAAGTTTTAAAGGGTAGGTGGGGGCAGAGGGTAAAAGGCTAAACTGTGAGATAGGCTACAGGTGTCCCAATTTGAAGCCACCTTAGATCCCATTACAAAGCGCCCTCCTTCCATCACCACTCCCCTCTGCCCTACAAAATAAATCTCTCTCAACACCATCGAACGCTACCATACTGCAACTCGGAAGTGTGTGTAAGCGGAGAGAGAGCTAGGTAGAGGAGATGAGCGTCCTTCAGGATCGTGGCAAGCAGGTTCGGGAGCTGGCAGGCTTTGCGGGGCCCAGGAGCGCCGCGCAGAAAGCCAGCGAGGCCCCCGCGCCCCGCACCCGCTCCGCAAAGACTCCCCCCAGCAGACTTCGGATCCGGAGACCATGGCCTCACCTTGAAGCGCACCGGCATGTCGCCCGGCGCTGGAGCCCCCGCCACTCCGACAGTTAACGGGACAAACACCCCCCGAGGGGGCGGGGCGAAAACAGTCGGTTCCCTAGCAAAATCCTCAGCCTGGCGTCTCCGACTACGCGCCGGCGCACTCCGCGCTTCTCTCCTTGAGCCCCTTCGCTCTGCCTTTCCCCGCCCACTCTGAGGCCTAAGAACCAATAGAGACTCCGAGAGCTTCTTGCCGTCATGAAGACTCGACCAATCAGTGCCCGAAAGGGAGCCGCCCGCCTCCTGTGGCAAATCCCAGGGACTAATAGAAATGGCGGGCGGAAGACTGGCCAATGAGGCTCCCGGAACCGGGGTGGGGTGGGGCCCCGCGGGAGCTTCGTCCCGGGGAGAGCTCCGAGGCTCCTGGTGCTGCGGCTCGGGTGCGGCTGTGGGTCTACCTGCTGGTGGGATTCGTGTGTCACTGACTTCGCTGGGCCGGGTTCGTGACGTCATAAAACATGAAGGTGTGTTCTTAATTCCAAATCTGTGACGAAACCGAAATGTTTCTTCTGAAATGAAAATGTTCAGGTCTGTTCTCCTGAATATGAGTTCCTCCAACTGACAGCCATGTTACACCACTTACTGTCACATCAAAAGGGATAGGCCAAAAATAAGTATTGTTTAGGAAGGCCAAAAAAAATTTATTAACTCTTGAAAGATAAACTACTTCTAGTGATGTTTTTGTCTCGCAATACCCGGCCCCCGCCAAAAAAAAAAAAAAAAAAAAGTACATATAGCTCTTAATATTAGGAAACATTAATGGCGCATATGAGTCTCAGCTTCCAAAGCTTCAGCGTTGTCTTTCCTCTCATTCATTTTAAAAAATAAATTGCATCTGATTTTAATAGACTTGCCATCATCATCAATAAGTATTTTTTGAGATTGTCATTGACAGAATACTGTGCTGACTCTGAGAATGGGAAAAGAAATAAATTGTCCAGACACTTCTCTAATATACTTGCAGAGAATGAATATATATTTATTCAGTAATAGTAATGTACCATTGCTAAATTTTCAAATGACAGCTATGATGATAAGGGCTATAGGAGTTGGAGGAGGGAGTTGTCCTTAAGGGTAGAGATGATTAGAAGAAGCCTCAGGAAGAAATATTCAGACTCAGTCTTGGAAATTAGAAGGACTGAAACAAATAAAGAGGAAAATGGGATGATCAAAGAATAGATGTCTGAGTGGAATGCTGCCTGGCTTCTTCCAGGAACAATGAAAATAGTGCCTTCGCTTTTGTCATTTGTTGACTGAAGAAAAGCATACCCTCTTTTAAACTTTCAAATATTAATGGCAATCCTTGATGCTCTAAGCATTTTCTGCAAAGACTTGTCTTCCTGAATCCTTAATTGATGTCTCTGTTCTTCTTCATCGTCACTGAGATACTTAAAAATTCATTTGAAAGAGCCACCTGATACCTGAAACAAAGAGAATATTAAATTAGCCCCTCTGTGGCCATGCATCCAGGGGGCCCTTGATAAATGTTAATTGGTGATGACAGCATCTCGGGCGTGTAAATTAAGAATGGCACAAACAAGACACAGTGGAACATAAACTGAAGGTCCTCTTCAGGAAAACAGCCCAGATCTTACAGAGCAGGAAAAACACAGTTCTGGTTGTATATACGGCTTTGTTACGATGTAATGCTGAGGCGAAGTCAGCAAAAGCAGGCATGTAGAATGGAGCCTGTCTGCTAAACAAAGGCCACGATAACTGCAGTAGAGCTCTGCTGAGAAGGGGATAAACGACAAGAGCAGCAGATGGTAGAAATCACAGAGCCACAACCTGTGTTTGCTGAGATGTGCTATGGGGACTCAAGGAAGAAGAGCACCTTGCTTTGTCATTTTTAAATGAAAGCCTACTCAATTTTATGAGGCAGAGACGTAGAAATGCAAAGAGGGACAACCTTAGTAAATGAGAGCCTATAGCCTGTGTTTTACCGGCTTTTATACTCTCCGGTACTGCAAGGTACAGACTCAGTACCTACAACGTTCCACCCAAGTGTTTCAGGGAGTCCCTGGGAGGTGTCTCACATGTGCTTACAGCTACCACATTTGGTGCACAGGGCAACACTGCCTCTCATTTCAATAGCCACACGTCTGTACGTGTCACTCTTGCTGCTGGCCACCACAGCCACAAGTGCTGAGTACTGAGTCTCCACTGGGCACAGCATGAAGCCTCCTCGGACTGCCCAAGCCTGCTGGTGCTCTGTGACCAGGTGCTTCCCTCTCCTTTTTGTGTTACCCTCTATTAAGTGAGTATCAAAGTGTCTTAGAGGGCTTTTCCATTTAAATTTCAGCCTTCTCTCTCTCCAAAGGGAATTCCGTGGAGTCTGGGCCCGAAAGTAATCCGCAAGTGATAGCCTTCATTCTGTGTCATTCTATGACATTCTATTCTAAATGTGCTTCTCCCTTCCACCAGCCAAGGCTCTCTTAGTAGGACGAGGGTGTCATACCTGGCTTCCTCTTTCCTTTGCTGATGTCTCTGGTTCTCATGCAAATAGATTTCTCTTTATTACCTGTGAGAGATTAAATTTGGTACCACCTCTATGAAGAACAATTTTGCAATCCTTTGACCCAGCAATTCTACTTTTATAACTTTATCTTATAAATATACTTGCCCATATGTGAATTTATTTAAGGTGTTTGCTGCAATGTAAGTTAAATTGTAAGTTACTGTATTGTAACTTAAATGCCCATCTGCAAGGGACTAGTTAGATATATTGTGTTTCCTCCGGGGCCCAGAGCGAGAACTGGCTCTGCAGCAGGTCCAGATGACAGTGCAGGCTGCTCTGCTCCCCAGGGCTTCCAGCCCAGTAGATCCAGGTGGGTCGGACCCCATTTAGGTGTCAAGTATTATATCCATCAGGGTCCGGCTGAGAAAACTGAAACTACCAGAAGCATTTCCAAAAAGAAAGCTTAATATAAACTATTGGTTAATGATTTCACTGGAGAACTTTGAAAAGCTAAAAGGAGAAACTGGATAGTCATTCCAGAAAGCAGCTCACACCCCTGAGGCTGGAAAAGCAAAGGGAAATGTTGATGTTACCAAAACACAGAGGTTTGCCCTAGAGGCCTCGGGGAGTTGGCGAGATGTCGGCCCAGCTGGTACTGGTGCCTCTTCGGGAACAAAGTGAGGCTGCCTCTGGGAATGACAGGAAGGAAGGGAGGAAGGGAGGGAAAGAAAGAAAAAAGGAAAGGAAGGAAGGAAGGAAGGTTGGTTGGAGACTGCAACCAGCTACTACCATGGAGAAAACAGTCATCATTAAGGTGCTGCTGAGAGCAAAAAGTGAGTGAAAGTGTGCATTCTGGTCTCTAGGGTCTTCTCTTAGCAGACCTAGAGGGAGTTAGTTAGCAGGATCCGAAGGATCTGCACAGCCCAAAAATAAGATTGGAAGTGAGGGACAGTAACTTATTAACTACTATCTATTTGACCCTTTAAATAAAGAAGATATTTTTTTTAAATAAAGAAGCATTTTTTTTATGTGCTAACATGGAAAGAGTTCAAAAAAAGGCAAGTTACAGATGAGTGTGTATAGTATACCATCAGCTGGGATAAAAGAAAGAAAAAAAATTATGTTATATAATAGCATCATTCACAGACACATTTTCCCTCACTCATGAGTCCATATCCATTAGTAGCAGCTATGAAGATCATCTCATTCAACTTATATGTAGACTTCAAGTTATTGATAGCTCTTACAACTATTCTCTACACATAAAATAATGCCTTTGAATCTTTATAGATTTACTTTGACTTACATATATTGCAATAGATCTGTTTCCTCTTTTAGAGACAAAAATATATCAAAATTCTTTAAAAACAACTTTTATTTGCCCTTGAAAAATAAGAAGTCAATCACTCCACAAATCTAACAATCTCTCATTTTTCTCAACGGCAGTTGAAACATTGGAGAATTTGTATTTGTATTTGTGTTGAATCTGTATGTGCCTCTAAACATATTTTTATTTTACAAGGAAAAACATATTACATATAAGCAAAATACTGTCAGACAAAAGGGTTGAAGAAACAAGATACAAATAAGAGTAAGACACAGCCCCTGTTTCAAATCTGATTACAGTTGAATGAGGGAACAGACATACACACAAAGAACACAGGAAATGATAGAAAGGATTCAGGGAAGGGGCTAAACGTGAGTACTCTGGTATTCTGAAGATGTTTTTAAATCTAGTGCCAGAAAGTTTGATCCAAGACCGGGGACTAAAGAGCAGACAGGATAAGAGAGCTGCTTTTAAGTCCCATCCTGGGAAATACCTGATTGAGAGGACCTTTCACTTTCTCTTTTGTTCTGCCCTAGGTAGCTGAATCCAGGCCAGAACTAACATTTGCTCGAGAATGGGTCCCAAAAAGGTAAGTTACTTGCTCTCTGTTATCTTATTTTCCCTTGCTGCTTTAGAAATCAGAATAAAGCTGCTTTAGAAAACACCCTTCCAACAACACAGTGATACATGAGCCTTGTGTTTACGTATATGTAATTTTTTCTGAAATACCTTGCAAGGTAACTGAAATTCCAGTTTCCAGGCTTAGTAATGCTCTTGAGCTCTGTAACTTCCTCTTCGTTCACATTTACGTGGGCTTTCCTTGGTAAATCTTGATCTCAGCCTCTGCCAAAAAGCAATCAGTCAGACAGCCGCTTACTTTGGCGGTTTTCCATAAGTTTTAACTGCTTTTTCCTCACATGAATGAATTTCTGATTGTACAACTGAAAAGAAAAATGACAAGATTAAATCAATGGATTCTGTTTCAGAAGCAAAATTGCTGATACTTCACATTAGTGTCAGTAAGAATCAAATAAACAGGGTGTATGATTAAGACTTACCAATGAGCCAAGTGCAATTTATCCTCTAGACTTTTCGCCGTGGGATGCCTTTGTTGACAAAGAAGTGTCTGGCTTTTGAATCAATGGGGCACCTTTTGGAGGGACTCCAGGTTCTCTTGACAACATGTACTTTTTTTCCTTTTTTTTTTTTGGTGAGCCTGAGGGACTTCTAACCATACAAGGCCATGACTGAATAAAGAAAGTAATTCTTAGTAAGGCATAAGTCACTGCAAGCCTCACATACCATAATAACATGTTGTGCCTCCACTGAACAAGACACAGGGAACAAAATTTGAAGGCACATAACTCTTTTGATTTTAATATCTTCACTGTTGATGATTCTGTTATCTAAAAATTGCCTTCCCTTTTCCTCAGTGATTATTGTTCTAAGTCACCATCTCTATGAAAGTATCCACAAGGACACAGATTTTTCTGGAATCACTAACTCTGTAGATTTGGGGGCATTAATTCTCTGATCACTTAAAACCAGATGTCATGTCTTAAGATCAGACTAGAGGACACTATCCACTGTGTTCCTAAGAACCTTCTAACTCTCTACCCTACCCCAAAATAAATTTTGAAATATCCTTTTCTCATGTAGTATATAGGCACCTTAATAACTTCAGGTCAAGACCGAACACCTGTCATTATTCCTATTGAAATCAATACCAATAAGAGACTACGAATTTTTCTGAACTAAATCAGTTTTCCTCCCCTTAGTGACTTATGATTGTTGATTCCCTTAAAATGTTCGTTTGAGTTTTGCTGGAACAGTGAGTTCATAAAATCTTAGTACTGTGTTGTTCATTCTTCAGTCTCTCAGCTTCCAGTAATTGAATTAATAATGTTTGACAGTATAGTGATATGCCAATTGTAAAATACTGCACGATGAACTTAAAGAAGCTGTTTCAATATCATGGAGCACAACTTCTAGAATAAATTTTAGGAATTTTATTCATTTAATTTAATCATAGCTGTGGCAGGTACTGAGGCTAACACTCCAAATCCATTCCCACCTCCTCATGTACTGCAGAAGCTGTAAAGCTAAAGTCCCTTTGACACTAGACCCCTTTGCAGCTGATGGTCAGGTGTAACTTACATTTTGCTGATGAGAAGCACTTTCATAAATTGAACTAGATGGGAGAAAAGCAAAGCATAAGCAGCCATTGTGAGGGTGGAAGTCATGGTGGTAGCAGCAATAGCATGGTTCTGAAAAGGCAGCTCTATCAGCAGCTTCCTGATCACCACAGCAGTGACAGATTTCTGGAGCTAGGTCTTAGAGGTGGCTTATTATTAATTTAGCAATGAGTATCCTGGTTCTACAACTTCCTGACATTAGTGAGTCTATTCTATTCTAGAATTTACTTTTTCTGCATTCCTAAGGATTTTGTAAGCCACTTTGTGTCAGTCATCTATTGCCACAATAATACTGTATAACAAACACCCCCAAATGGAGTGGCCTAAAGCAATAACCATTTATTATTGCTCATGAATCTGTGGGTCAGCTGGCCAGTTCTAGTAGTCTAGGTTGAGCTTGGCTGACCTCATTGGGCTTGCTCATTGGTCAGCTGATGGGTGAGCTAGAAGCTGGGTGGTCTCCAATGATCTCAACTAGGACAACTCATCATTTCTCCCTCACCTTCCAGCAGGCCAGTCTGGATTGTTTTCATGGGAAAGGAGGGTACCAAGAGGGAGAGCAAAGTGTGCAAGGCCTCTTGAGGATTAGATTCAGAACGAGCACACCATCACTCATCACTTCTACCCCATTCCATTGGCGAATGCAAGACAAAAGGCCAGCCCAGATTTAAAAGTAGGGAAACAGACTCAACCCCTTGATGGGAGGAGTTACAAAGTCACATTGTAAAGGAGGAGTGAAAATTTCATTCTGTTATTACAGTAAATCTGCCTTAACACTGAATACCCTGAAAATACCCTCTCCACTTTAAATATCTGAATTAGTTATGCTCTTTGCAGCTTTTACTCTGACCAATACAACAGTGGGTTATACATGTACATTTATCTTGATTCCCTCTTAAAACACTATAAAATGACAGTAAACGAGTAAAACACGTATAAATTGGTGCAGTCAAAGAGAATGGCACAGGAGACAACTGCAAAATCGAGATGTGAACGAATATTGGTGACTTGGAAACAGAGTCTGTTGCAGGCTGGGCTCTGTGAGAAAGAGATGGACCCTGAGATGAAGTTCAAAGTGCTGAATGTTTATTAGTGAGGGCTCTTGGGATCAACGTCTATGGAAGGGAGGCGAAGGGAGCAGGACTGGTTAGAAGTCAGGCTTCAATGCAGGCCTGACAACAACCTCAGCTAACCCCATGCGAAGTCCAGAACTAAAAGAACAGACATGCCATGTGCTGGGCCATAATGTGTTTCCCTAGGAAGGGCATGACCTTGAGTAAGGCAGCTCCCTCCAGTGGAGGTAGTAGTAAAGGGCACAGACAGTAGGTAACTATCCTTCCCTAAAGTAGAACATGGACAAGTGCATCACCATAAACATGTTCCTACTAAGCAACCAGTGTTCCTCACAAACAACATGTATTTGAAGCCATAGGCCAAAATATCTCTGTTCCCACTGGGAGCCAGTCTCAATGCAGCTAATAGAGGTTTAGTACCCAAGCCTTCAAGAGTGAAAGAGGGTACCAGTCAGCACTGGTACCCTTACTTCTGGTTCACAACTCCCAGAGACAAAACATTGGACCTGAATCTCACTGTGCCCTTTCCCTTCCCTAGGCTGTCTCTACCTTACCATGTTATGGGTCACTTTGCACCTGCGTTAGGCCATCCACAGTCTTGTGCTTTCAGAGAAGCCGGTGGTGTTGGTGCCATGCAAACAGGAAAGCTAGATGCAGGGCCAGCAGGACGTTCTGCTTGTGAATTTCACAGGCAAAAGTAGGGTGGGAATTGGTGCTGGAGCGAGCACAGGAATCCTGACCTTAGAGGGGAGCAAGGGAAAAAGGAACTGTACCTGAGGAATAGGCCTAGAACTTGACTTGTAACCTATGGGTATATAAAACCCACATTAAAAAATATTGTCAACACTAGTAAACCAAGAAGAGAAAAAAATATTGACTCCCTATTCCAGTTACAGTCATTTATAAACTGGCTGCTACCATTTATGCCTGATTACCGTACAGCATGATAACAAGTGCACATGTCATAAAGTATATGTTCAGTAAATTGATTGGAAAGCTAAATTTTCCACTATACAGACAGCCGTTACGGTTTGTTACTTCTCGGTGATCCCATAACACTGGAGGGCACATGAGCCAGAGGGCAACTCCATTCTCTTCTGATAAAAGAAAACTCTGTGGAACAAATCCATGTTTCAAAGAAATGTTCTCTTTATAACATAAGCTACTTTGTTATTTGAATCATGATGTTCTCTTGATCATGGGCTTTTATTGTTAAGAAAGCAAGCGTCCGTTTCCAATATATGCTTCAATTTAGCCAAATGCTAAATTGTGAAATATGTACAGATGCTTCATGAATTGAAAAACATTACAGAAATGTGAGTAGTTCCTGGTTTAGGTGTTAAGAATGGTCTCCTTTTGGGGCACCTGGGTGGCTCAGTCAGTTAAGCATCTGACTTCAGCTCAGGTCATGATCTCATGGCTTGTGGGTTCGAGCCCCGCGTTGGGATCTGTGCTGACAGCTCAGAGCCTGGAGCCTGCTTTGGATTCTGTGTCTCCTTCTCTCTCCGCCCCTCCCTCACTTGTGCTCTATCTCAAAAATAAGTAAACATTTAAACAAACAAACAAACAAAGGGTCTCCTTTTGTACCATTTTGTACCACTCTTCATCTTTGTTTTTCCTAAACAGTGGAACTCAATGCAGCTTAACATTACGAATTAGTCTCCTATTTATTATGAACAATACCTTTTCTGATTATTACTATTATTATTGTCTAATATTTATTGAGTGCTTGTTACATGTCTTAAGACTCTATATGATGTACCAGAATTGTTTCATCAGGAAAACAGGGCCACTGTAAATGGTACAGGAATAAGGGGCTTCATATAGAAATGACAGCTTACAGGGGTGCCTGGATGGTTCAGTTGGTTAAGCGTCCAACTTTGGCTCAGGTCATGATTTCATGGTTCATGGGTTCGAGCCCTGCGTCGGGCTCTGTGCTAACAGCTCAGAGCCTGGAGCCTGCTTGGGATTCTGTGTCTCCCTCTCTCTCTGCCCCTCCCCTGCTCATGTTCTGTTTCCCCCTGTCTCTCAAAAGTAAATAAACATTTTAAAAAATATTTAAAAGAAAAAATGACAGCTTACATAAATATGAGAGGACCTGGAGGAGTTACGTTCTAGAAGGTGGCAGCCAGCGGAGTGAAGAATCACCAGTGTGTCCAGTTTAAAGCCCTAGAGTATCAATGGAGAGACTCAGACTCAGTATGTCCAGAAATCCTGCCATAGCTACAGAATGAGGGCTCACAGAGAGGGCTGTGATCCCCTGTGTCTGGTGAGGCCTTGATGAGCTGTAGCAACTGTTATTCCAGAAACATTGTTCTCCC